CAAACTCTTATGATCATAGATTTTTTTCTTGTTATTTTTTGTACGTTATTACGTAAGCACAACAATCCCGAATTAAACCTCAGTTAGCCAACCACGACTCGTAAATCATGATCATAATTGCACGATAACATCGAGATTGGATCATGATATTAATCGTTGCATGACCGATATCTTATACATCAATTACTGTATTATTAATTCATTTTTGCCTTATTTGAAGAGATATTTAAATTCAAGTTGAGTTAAAGTTAAGTTAAAAAAGATATTGTAAGCAAAATTGCTTTTCCAATATTTTTTATTAGTACCCAGGTATCCTTAAATTTGAAATCTAATTTGTTAATCAATGTAGTTCCCAAATAAGGTGGACGTCTAAAGCGGAGATAAATTATATTTATTGAATTAACTTTAGAGTTAGGGTCATCTTAGGTTAGGGTTAGGTTAGCTTTTGGGTAGTTATATATATGAAAATTGCCTTCCCAACATTTTTGCTTAACCTACCCAAGGCAGGTTTGACTGCCGATTTTTGTATTTTTTAGGTTTTTTATTTTTCTTTCTTGTATTGCTTCGTCGGCGATCATCAAAATTATATAAATTTGATTGGCTGATAGTCACATGATTAATCTCCGCTTTAAACGACCTCCAAATAAGGAAAACAAAAAATGGGCGGTAAATACTAATGCTGTTGAATATTATTTGCATTATTCATGTGAATATAGAATAGATCTTCAATTCCAGTACTATATTATTTATGCGAGTGGATTTTATTGCATAGTTATAGGGTAGGAAATTAAATAATTATTTGGCAATTCATTAATCTTTTTTCTACATTCATTACCAAACAAGTCATGGACAACTTCATACGTTCTTTTTTATTATTAATAGCTTTAATTCTTAACCTGTTCATTACCATAACTATTGCATATACTCCTGCCAGTCGTTATTATCAAGGCAACGTCTTAGTTGGAAATAAAATATATTTTTTAGGTGGTATAGACAATTCAGGCAAGGGCACTAGTGATCTATTCTATTTGGATGTTTCTTCTCCATTCTACTCTGCTAATCCAAAATGGACTGATCTCACGAGTGTTGCTCCTATTCCTGTCACTAGTGCATTCGCACCTTCTTGTGTTGGTGGGAGTAACAGTTCCACTATTTTCTTATTTGAACATCGTAGAACAAATAATGCTAATTCAACTTCCTTAGTTACTTTTACTTTTGATACATCATCTCAAAAATGGACTGCTCCAACGATGTCTGGTGTTATACCACCTCCCAGACAGGATATGAGAGCGGTTGCTGATAAAAACGGTAAAATTTATATTACTGGTGGATTTGAACCATATACAACCTTTAGATCATATAATAGCACTTACATATTGGACTCTTTGAGCTTATCTTGGACTAATGGTGCTAATGCTTTGATAATTCGGTCTGCTTATACTGCTACCCTTTTACCGAGTGGTGATATCGTATATGTAGGAGGAACAAATGACGATGGAAGTCCAGAAATTGATATGAACTCAGTAATTAAGTTTAATAATTGTGTTAAACTCCTTTATTTTAATCGAATTTAATGTTAACTTTCATTATTTCTTATTATTTCTTATTAGCTTTCAATTTATAGTACAAATACTGGATCTTGGTCTTCAATGGTGAGTAAATTACTTTAATTGTTGAAATATCTAATTTAACCTAAATTGAGATTAAATTTTATAACTTCATAATATTGGTCTTAGATGAATTCATTAATATAATATTTTTATTATGTATGATTATTAGATTGCAACTGGCGACGTAATTGCATCCCGTCGATCTCACACAGCCGTACTAAGTATGCATTAAAGATACTAAACTACCGTACCGTTCCGAAATTAAGCATCCATGGCCCGCACTTCGCAAATTTCGCATTATGATAATTTTGGCCAGCACGACATGCAAAAAAAGGTGTTTAATCTCGGAACAGTTCGGTATTTATGGTTTATTTTTATTAATAGCTCATAAACTTTACTGTTTGTTTTTAGGTAAGGATGGTTCTATTATTATTTATGGAGGTGCTGCTAATAATTACACTGTAGCCCCAAATCCGTCTTTGGCTGTATTGGATACGAATTATAAACCTTATAAGTGGTCCGCAAAACAATTCACTAGTTCATTTGCTCCACCTCCTCTTGCCTATCATTCTGCTCAAATTGTTGGGGATTACATGATCATAGCATTTGGTATTATATTTACTGATCGAATGTTCATTTCATTCATTTGCTTAAAACTTATTAAATTTGCTTTCCAGGTGTCAGTATTTTAAATGCGAAATTTGATTTATTAACTGCCCCGAATAATAATATTTACATATTGGATACTTCAAATTATACATGGGTTTCATCTATTGTTTCTGTTTCTACTACTGCCCCTCCTGGTGCAAATGGTATCCCTTCTGGTGCAAGTGGTACCAGTTCATCTAATACAACACAAAAAGATTCAGATCAATCTAATAATCATTTACCATTAAACATTTTACTAATTGCTGGTGTTGGTGGCTTACTTGGTGCTCTCATCGTTATTGGAAGTATCATAGGCATAATTTATAATCGTAAGAAAAGTCATGATGATAAGTATATTCCTACTCCGGGTACGAACATTCCTTATTAAGTAGTATTTAATTAGGGCTCTAGTTGCCTAGATTATTTATAATACATAATTTTTTTTATTTTATTGTCACATTATTGCATCTAAGTGTCCTTGAATAGAAATTTCGTGCAACGTTAATGTTTAATTAAGATTAAAATTAGTATTAAAGTGTGCATTAGAAATAAAATTGTCTTTCAAAATTTTTATGGATTGTTTACCAAGTTTTATAAATATAATTAAATTTGTAAAAACACTAAATCATATTCGTAAAAATTAGACAAATTTAAAATTTATATTCTCAATACCGTATTTTACTGTGTAAAGTACCAGGTACTTTATAAACTAAAAATAGCAAAACTAGCTTATACAGGTTTTTTCCTACAAAACAGCCAATAAAATTGCCATAGTCTTGAATTATTCCCGGTACAGATCAAGTAAAAAAATTGTACATCCCTTGCAATTTTGCCCAAACAAATTTCAGGATCAGGTATAAAATAAAATCGAAACGAAACCACTTTTTTAAATAGCTCTGAATTTTAATTAGGAAACCGCCTTCTGCGGTCTAATTAAAATGTTCCTTACGAAATCTTACTTACAGACGTCACATTATTCTAGTCCTAGCCCTAACTACAACGTGGTTTTCTTAACTTTAATTCTGCATGCAACTTTTTACTTAAAAAAACACGTTTGTTTTGACTATCATTTCACACCTGATCTTAAATTTTAGATTGTCAAAATTTACAGGGGATGAACAATTTTTGTGGGAACGCTATCTAAAATAATAAAATACGGTAGCTCGTAATCTGATCATTTTGTGAAATTACTAAATCAAATTTGTAAATGTACAGTAGTTCATAATAAAAATTTTAATTACATTGAGTACCATCATTGTGATTTAACAATACCAGATTTAATAATATAGTTATACAAAATCATATATTGTTGCTAACTCCACATATATGTTTTTTTAAGATGAGGTTTTGCCTTTATCTTTATTAATATTTTGTATTGAGAATCCACTAGGGGTTCTCTGGCAGGGATCAATTTATAAAATGTTTATAAAAATGTGATTCAGAAACTATTTAGGAACTAGAAATTCTAATTTATCTACAACCTAATCAACTAGAGTGGTTAAAACTTACAAAGTTGAATAATTTAAATTATCTGGCACCTTTCTATCATTGTACCAACAGAATAACTTGAGTTATTTGATTATGATTGCATCATTATCAAATAACTCCATTATTTGATGATGATGCAATCATTATCAAAAGAACTTGAGTTATTCTGTTGGTTTGGTCATTGTAAAATACTGTATAATACCATTATTTAATGATACTTAGCCAATAACTTGTTTATCTGGCATTGCATTTAAGAGTAGGGTGTATGTAGATCATTTTTTATATGATCTATGTAGTATATTAGATTTTCCTCAGTATTGCCATCAAAAATGTCACTTTCACATAACTATCAAAAAAAAATTTAAGTTCGTTTATGTAAGAGTTAGTGTTTAAACTGATATTAAAGAATGAGAAAGGTATAGTAAAATTACTCAAGAAATTTTTTTGTTAGTGCACAAAAGATGGTTTCTTATATGAATTTTTGAAAAATAAACGATTTTTGACAAAATTGACATTTGTTTTGGATCTTTGTAATTGCGTTATATTACACCAAATTGTGATTAATTATTTGATAATTGATATAGATCATCATATGAAAGTGATATTTTTGATGGCAATACAGTGATAGTTGATATAATAGATTTTTATATAGTAAATAAAAAATGCTTCTGATAAAACTTCTAATTTTTTTTTAGTATTAAGGTAAGGTCTTGCTCATATCTTTATTAATTATTTTAAGAATAGTAACTACATAGTGATATATAGAAATACTACTATTTTAAAAGTAAAAATTACATGCAAGAATAAAAGCTCAGACATATTTATCTATAATCTAAACTTAATAAAACTTCTTAATATCTTAACCAATTTATATAAAATTTATATAATATATAATTTAAACAGATTATTTATAATATTGAAGTTGCATAATATGCTTGCTTTAAAAAAAATCAACTTTATATATAATTAAATTTTCCTAGGTCATTATATATTTTTTCTAGATAGTACAAAAAATTGCTAATTCTGATTGGTCAAATCATATAATATTTACATATAAATTATATGATATCATATATACAAAGTTGATCTACAATCTATTTTATATGAAATTAGAAATTTATACGCTCTATCCTTAATATACGTCATTTCTGAGCCTCTTTGTGGCCCAGAAGTTGACATATTAAATTTTACAGTCAGATAATAAAAATTATAATAATTTCTATTATTGACTGCTTTGCATCAAATAAGAGCAGTATCATTTATCACCTAATTTTTTTTTATTAGAAGCTTATCCCCTCCTTCTCTTAATATATATCTTGATTAGGTCCTTATATATAATATTAAAATTTTTACCCTCCTTTTTTTAAAAAATCACTTGATTTTTTTTTTTTTTTTTTTTTTTTAAAAGTGAGGCCTGGCCTCGGTCTTTATTGAATAATTTATATTTTTTATATTTGTAGAATAAAATACATGAATTACTACAGGGACCTACAGCTAGGACTACTTTATCCTCGGCCTAAAACTCTACTAGAGTAGGCTAACAGACCTCATCTAGATTTATAGTAGCAATGTAAGATATAGATATATTAGTGGTAGAAAAAATAGTTGCTCATCTATTGAAATTTGCTATACTATATTGTAGTTTGGGTGGGTGTTCTGGTGGTGGTATAGTAAGTGGGTTAGTAAAATCACCTGATTTTTGTCAATCTCTAATTATATAAATTATTAATTGAAAATTATATTTTATCTATATGATATTTTATAAAAATAATTTCTAATACAGTCTGAGATTTTTCAAATTTGCAAATCATATTTTTTTTTTCTCTTTATTGGCAGCCTTGCTGGTATCTTTATTAGATCAAAGCTAATATACAGTTATATAATAAACTATCTAAGTTATAGATCTGACATCACTCGGCTTCCTCTATGGGCACCCAAGTGCTGTCTGCCTCACCAGTTAAGGCTATTGCCTGTACCAGAGGGCTGCACCAAGCTAGCCAGTAAAACCATAGCAAGATAGTTTCGATTTAAAAAAATTTTTAACTAAACTAAATTAGCAATTTTTCCTTTCTAACCTATCCTCCATTTTATCATGAACTAAAACCAATTTTCTATTATATTTGCATTTCCTTTTCCTCTTCTTCTAATTAAACCTGTCCTTTCTGATTAAAGACCCATTTCTTAGGACCTTATATTTTATAGCTTTGTGGTCTTTTCCTGCTTCTTGGGAGTTTTTTCTGTGATCTTTCTTTGCCGATACTCTTTTGTAAGCTTTCTTTTCTTTAAAAAATCTTGGGCCCTCTTTTGGTCTTTCCATTCCATAGTCTTGTATAGTCCATCCAGATTTATTTTCTTCTATGTTTGAGTATAGAGGTCTTCTCTTTTCCTTTTCTTTAACTTCTTCTTTTCCTTTTTCTTCCTAGGCTTTGGTTTTCTTCCTAAAATCTTTCCTTGAATTTCAACAAAGATTCTCCAATTCTTGAAGATTTCTACAAAGATCTTATCTAGTATCTTCAATAATATATCTTTTTTCTTCTTTTTCCAATTTTTGATACCTTTTCATCTATAATCTATTGTATCTTGAAGTGAATTCAAATCCATGCTTCTTTGGTCTTTCAGGCATCTTAGATTCCAATAGGATTTCACACCATGTATCCATTTTGCAAGCAACTCTTTCTTTTTCTTTTTTCATGTCCTGTTATTATGTTGTGAGTCTAACTTGATATATTACTTCTATTAACTATTCTGCCAAAGTTGTTAGTACAATTGTTGGTTTTGTTTCTTCTTGAATCTTGTTTCATGTTTTTGTTTCTGTAATATCTAAAATGTCTTGTCTTTTGCTTCTTTTTTCCTTTTCCTCTTCTTCTAGTAATCTTCTTATTCTGTCAGCCACCCTTAATTCTACTATAATACTGGCTATCTCT